CGATGTTGACGCTATAAAAAGGCGACAGTTCGACACACCGGATATACGTCACTCTCGTCTAAGTTCGACTTGGGAATTTTTTTGTTCAATAATAAATGTGAATTCTTCTTCCTGGAAAAAATAAGACCTAGTGCATTTTTCAGAGCAAAAATTAATATAAGACACTGTCTTATTTTCGGGTAAACATGGTAGTAAAATAATTTTAATATTAATAATAATAATTTAGTAACATAAATTTATTCATATTAAAATGTACTCGCGGGCCGCCAGTTGGACAGCGCTGATTTAGTACATAGAAGCAATAATACATTATCTGATCAGTTGAAAAATAAAATACGGAAAGAACAAAAGTATTGGAAAAAGTTACTGAAACTAGTAGTAGTAAATGAAACATTTGGAATGGAGGGCAATGGAAACTATTGGACTTTCAGAATGATAGCAAAATTTGATCCATTTTTATCTGAACATACTAAAAATTATGGTCAAGCTAGTTTGGGAAGAACTTCATATCTTTCACAAAAACAGTATGTGAAGAACTAATTGCTTTGATGGCAAAAAAGTTTTAGAATCAATTAATACAGATGTAAAAAAATCAAAATATTTTGGAATTTCAGTTGATTCCACTCCAGATGTTTCTCACAAGGATCAACTATGCATTATTTTGAGATATGTAGATGAATTGAGTTTTGAACCTATGGAATGATTTCTGAACTTCATTGAAACTGAGGATCACACTGGAGCCAATTTAGTGGAAATGACTAAATATTTTGGAAACTAATGCTGGTTTGAATTTTGCTGATTGTAGATCTCAGTCATATGATAATGGAATGAATGTGGCAGGAAAATATAAAGGTATGCAAACAAAAATTTTGGGAAGGAACAGTAAGGTGAGTTTTTTACCATGTGCTGGACACTCACTGAATCTGGTTGGTATTTCTGGTGCTGAATGTTGTATAGAATCAATCAATTATTCTGGAATAGCTCGACAAATTTTCAATTTTTTTTCATCATTCACCAAAAGATGGAGTGTAATTGAAAAAAATTCCAATCAATCAGTAAAATCATTATCAAAGACTAGATGGAGTGCTTGAGCAGACTCATCAAGGTAATATATGGTAATTATGGAAGTTTATTGGATGCTTTAAACAGTATTGTAGAGAATAAAAGTTTTGATGGAACCTCAAGAGCAGACACACAAAATTTACTGTCAAAAATGGAAGAGTTTGAGTTTGCATTGCAAACAGTTTTTTGGAATGTAATACTAGAAAGAATTAATGCAGTTTCCAAGTCCTTGCAAGATTTGAAAATCATGTTAGACACATGCTCTTCTTTGTATTCATCTCTTGGTGAGTTCCTAATGAGTTTGAATGATCAGTTTGACACAATTGAAGCAGAAGCTAAACAATTATTTCCTGATACTAAACAAAATAGAGACAACAAACTAAAAAAAATAATTCCAGGTGAACCTCAATCAAATGAAAAAATGTTAAATCCTAAAGAAAACTTTAAAAATAATGTTTTTCTGAAAATTTTGAAAAACATTAATATGAATTTGGAATGAGCTGAGACTTATAAGAAAATTAATCAGAATTTTGGATTTTTAATCAACATTGGCATTCCTAATGAAGAACTGAAGACGTATACAAAATATTGTCAAGCAATACCAAGGAGATATTGATGATTCATTATATAGTGAAATTTTGCAATTCCATAGTTTCATCAAAATTAATTACAGAGATTGAGAATCTCCTTTGATTCATTTGTTCTTGTATAAGATGATAAGAGAAAAGAATATAGAAATTGCATTTTCAAACACTGAAATAGTTTCAAGAATTTATTTATGCTTGATGATTACCAACTGCTCTGTTGAGAGAAGTTTTTCAAAATTAAAATTAACCAAAAATGATCTAAGGTCAACCATGGCCCAGAATAGTTTAAACAATTTCACTTTATTATCCAGCAATGTCAATAAAACAAAATCTATTGATTTTGATTTATTAATCAATGAATTTGCCAAAGAAAAATGTAGAAAAATTTTTTATAAAACAAATTGTAATTTTTATCTTGTTTTTAATTTTTTATTATACTTTTCATATTTTTTAAAGTACCACTGACTGTCTCTCAACTTGATAATCTAGGATTAACTTTTAAATCAGATCAGGTATTTTAAGATAAAATTTATAACAATTCTTATTGAATAAGTGAAATAAAATTAATTTCAGAGATGATTATTATTTTTAGGGACCCCAAGCCTTGCTTGTCCTAGGGTCCCCAAAAATGCAAATCCAGCTCTGATTATGAAGCTGTACAAAAATGTCAGAATAGAACATTAAGTTTTAAATATAATATTAAATATGGCAAGTAATTATCTAAACTGGCTACTTACCCGTCTTGGTTTAACCTGGGCTGTTGCCGTTCTGATCGAATTCCATGTTTTCTGTAGAGCCCTCTGCTGACATTCCACAGCTGATCTCTCAGTCTTTCGTATTCCGATGTGGTGCCTCTTGCACAGCTGTAATGCATTAAACTTTTCAATGTAAAAGTTTCGACAGAAACTTATTAAAATAAGAAAAAATTAACTTTAATAACTTAAAAATGACTTTGCATGCAAGATTATATCTAGTTCCTCTGTGGGAACTTGATAATTATAATTTTTACATGTACAAATTACATATATTGATATTTAAAAGCATTCCACCATTTACTTAATAAATATTTATGTATGGTAATAACTTCTTCAGTGCTACAAATAATTAATTTATATTTAATTTTTTATGCAATCATAAATTATAAAATAAAAAGCAAAAGATTTTTATATTTTTTTAATATATATATAAAAACTCATGCAATGAGCTCTTAATTATTACTGAAATTGGCTACTGCAGCAAATAATAAATGATAATGACAACAATCATAAAGGCTTAATTAAAAGCTGTGCGCCATGCCAACTACACTCTTCGACGACAAAGAAGAAAATTTAATATTAAAAAAACAAGCTCGACTCTTGGATCTTGTTTCTTCTTTCTTGAGAAAGAGGTGTGAGAAAGAGCTGTGCTGAAACTGAATTGCACTCTAAATTTTGTAAATACCCTACAAGTTTTACCTTATTTCTGGGGGTATTCTTTTTATCACTCCCCAGTTCTGTTGTTTCCTCATCTTTCTGAAACCACAGAAAGTAATTCTTTGATATACACCCAAAGAAATATATTCTAGTTTATAGGTGGCAGTATTAATTTAGAAATATATATACATACACATATACACACATCTTTTATTTTTCCAAAAGCAGATAACTGTTCTACTCCATATTAAAGCATGGAAAAGCACAGTTCCCTCCCTTTAATTCCCATCTGCCACCTATATGACAATTTTCTACTTTCTACTTTTAGAAAACACAACAGACAAAATGTAAACGATAAATTTTCTCACTCCAGACCACTTACTTCAATGTCCAATTCTGGAACGTCATGTTGATTCAATGGCAGAATGGCTATCTTTTGAATTTTGTAGACTTCGTGGCCCCCTGGGAGACATCCGACCAAGGCTCGCTGCCGAATAAGTAGTAACTTTTTGTCAACATCTGGAAAATGTAATCAGGTAAGTCTTTATTCAATCATTAATACTTGTTGTAGCTAAAGCAACAAAGAAAATTTAATAAACTTCTCTGTTTATGTTATTTTATCTTTTCTGTTTCATTTTATTCATCCTAAACTTCTGAATTTATTAGTTTTAGCATAACTGTTTATGATAAATATTTGTCAGGTTTTCTAGAATCACTTTGTACACCTTGTACCTGTATCTGAGCATCCAATTTTGACAAAACATATAAATCTAAGAATATTTAAATTAATAAGATTCATAAGAGGCAAGGAACATTGACTGATAGTAGAAAAATGGTAATTAGTATTATACAGTTGTAAAGTGTTGCTAAGAAATCTGCTAAATCTTTAATATGAATGGTACTGTACATAGAATCAGTGTAATATTACCAAGATTCAAAGGTTATAACTAGGGTTTCTCAAAGGGGATTGATCCTGGGATCCCAGTTGTTTTTTAACCCGAAAAATTTTTCTTATCCCAGGAAATCCTGCAAATTTCTTAAAAACTCACTTTTTTTTTATTTTGTGATTAAGGTTGAGGAATTTTGCAAATAGAAAGTATAATTAACTCATAAATTTTCAGAATACATTTGTATTTATTAATTTTAAACCTACTTATTAGTTTTTTTTTAATTTTTGCTTGTTATGGCATGTCACAAATGGTCAATAATCAATATGTAGCTTATTTTTGGCAGGACTTTCAAAATTCTTTACCTGTAATATCTGGAATAATTGTGCTTATGCTGTCTTAATTTTTAACCATGCCCAGTAGCTTCAATAACTGCGTAATGCCAGGTTGCACAAATTGGGCAAGGATACAAATGAGTACGAAGTCTGCAAGTACTGTATGAAGTTTTCTTCATAACCTGATTATTAAAGACAAACGAACTGCCAAATTATTGGGCTATGATGTTTCTATTAAAACAGTCAAGATAGACAAATCATGAATACTAGAGAGCAAAAGAAATATTATAATCTCAAAAATGAATTTTGAGATTATAATATTTTGAGATTATAATGAACTAGAAATCTTCCAGGCTATGGATGAAAAAACACATAATATCTGTCTTCTCTTAAATGCATTAAACAGGATTCCAATCGCATCAATTGAATTGGAAAGGGCATTCTCAGTAGCAAGACTTTTCATTACTAAAATAAGAATTAGATTGAGTGATCAGAGTATCGATCATCTTTGCTTTTTAAAATCTTATAAAAATTTACAATATTTTGTATTATATTTTATTTAAAAAATGAAAATTACCTTCTAAGTTAGAAGTTTGATCTAAGTTCAATTTTTTTAATTTTTAACTCAATTCAAAGCATTTTTTGTTGTTGTTGTTGTTGTATGCAGTTTCCAGCAAACTTTAATAAATTTTTTTCTATTTGTGAAAATTTGTATTTAATTCAAAGGTAATTTTTAATAATGCTGTGTAAGATATATATTAATATGATTTTGGAAGCTACAGAACATATTAAATTACTTTAAAAAATGAAAAATAATTATATCATTTGATTTCAAGAAATTTTGTATATCTTAAAAATAATTAATTCTAACTCGGGATTTCTTGGGATTCTGGGAAACAGTTCACTTTTATTCCGGAATCCCGGGACAAGCTAAAGACTGGAAAACGAGAAACCCTAGTTATAATGAATCTTCAACAGATAGAATCCTTAGTGTAGACATTTGATTAACATAGTGAAACATGCAAGTGCATTCCCACCATGTCAAGTCATACATTAATCATGGATGAAATAGCGGCACACTGCTATAATCAAGCTACTCTGAAACTGAAAATAGTGGATAGCTCAAGATACAGAGTACACAAGAACTTTATAAACATGCAATATATCAAAATACAGATATGATAACTGTTAGGGATTACGAGTCAATTCTATAAATAATGAAAAGAAATCTGTAAGTACTTAGTTGTTTCTCAATATTAAGCCAAATCTATATAATTGATTTTTTAAAGTCTTTTACTTTATTCTCTGAAATGAAATTAATCCATAATATTTTGTAATTTCAATCTAAATCAAAAGAAAGTTTTGCATTTCCTTCTAAAATACATTTTCTGGTAATCTTCTTATGAGTTTATTAAATCAATAAAGTTTCAATAATACTCTTTCCCGTAAAGACATTATGGTAATCATTGTGACGATTTTGTGTCACCAAGAAAATGAATGACGTCAAATGAAAAAACTAAATGAACAAACTTGTTATCGCCAACAAGGATAAAATATTTTATTTTAAT